TTTAATCCCCAAACCCTGAAAGCCGACGCCCGACCTTCTTCTGGCAGAGGCTCGTCTGCGCCCGGCAGGGACGGGAAGACTCAAGGAGGCGGAAACTTCGAGGATGTCGGGAAGTGTGGAGGATCATTGTACCCTAAAGTTCCCTGTGAGGGGGCATCATAGTATGTAATAGTATATTATAAAGATTATCATTGCTACTATTACTACTATTGTAGGTATAAATTCAGTATTTTGTACTCTAAGGTTCCCTGTAAGGTTGGGGTTATGTTGGGGTCGTTTATAGGGAACTTACCCCATAATGGAGAGGCAAATGGAAAATAACATGGACAATTAAATGGAAACTGGGGGCATATAGGGGGTTCTGTTTAAAGAATACATGGTAAAGGTTCAAGGGCTGGGGCGTGCTTGGAGGTTCATGCGGCCTGTTAAGCGACTGACTTCTATCTGGTCTTGTAACTCTAGTTGAATAGCCAGAGAAATGGTCTTCTGTCTTTAAGTTTCCGCAATCATGCGTAGGGTCATAATTCGACTGCTAGTTCCCATGAACCTCCAAGTAGGAACTGTGAAGCTTCATTTTTGGGTTGCTTGTGTGGCTCAGCCGGACATCCCCATAGTTTTTGACAGCCACTTCCCCATGTGCCGGCACTGCATCTGAGGTTAGGATCTGTTGGCATTTATTGGGTCTTTTGTGGGTATAGTGGAGCCATGTATAGAGCTGTCGCTGGGTACTTGTTGCAGGCATGTGGCAGGCATATACCCACCTACGCAGGTTTCGATGGAGAGCAATATCGTATCTTGCACCATGCTTTAAGGTACCGAGCGACATGTCGCAAGAGTGTTTGACCACGCAGCTTCCGTTTCCACCTTGCGCGTTCAACAACACGTGAGTGTAGTTTTGATATCAACGTGGCGTGTCAGGATTTTCCTGAGCGGCAGATTTCTCAGCAGCGCGTGTCTACAGAATCGGCATGGGTGCCACGCAAGCATCCGATGCATTTGTGTTGACGGGCTTGATTCGTCATTCCATAGCTCAATTAATTTGCAATCCAAGGTGGAACGGAGAAACCGTAAACCTGAGAACATTGCCTGTGCCAGAGAAGTCTCAAGCTATGCTCCCTGCAGGCATCGAGCACAGCAGCAATAGGCCTGCCCATGCACGAAGATGCTGTCCGACATTCTTTTGCAGCTGTGTTGAGGCGCTGGGGGCAAAATTCTTGCTAACACGGATTCAGCAATTGACGTATCTGACGAAGCGCCAGGCTCAACTGTTCTGCCAAAGAAGGAGGAAAAGGGCTGTGAGGAGGAGAAGGACCGGCTTGCAAAGGAATCGCTACGGAATGCTCAATCCCCTGAAGCCGTCTGCCTCTGCTTGCACAGACATGAGAATGTCTACGGGCCCCGGCAGACGATTCTGTTGGGGTAAATCGGCGGTACTTGTGACAACCTTGCTCGTTGCTTGAGGGCAGTAGGAATTGCTTGGGTGAGGCTTGCAGGTTCTTGTGAAGCTATGGATGTAGGGTTCCAAATTCCGCAGTTCCCCAAGGATGATCCTGAAACCCCAAAGCCCCAATCGGAAAACGCTAGATCCCTCAAGAAACCTATCCTTTGGATTGCTGCAAGGCTTCGCATCCGGCCCCACCCGCTGCGGCAAGTTTCCTTGAGGCCGTGGTACATGGGTCTCATAAGACTAGCGCACTGAGATAGATCAGGTTCTTAAGGGATTGCGTCTGCACAGAAGCTATTGACAGCATGATGTTGAGGCAAGCCTGGGACAGCCAAGTGGACCTAGGCACTTGAATGAATGACTCCAAAGTGAGGTGGTCTTTTCGTAGTGCCTCAGCTTCCAGCTTAAGTCATAATCAGAGAACCAGAGCGTGAAACCCCAGAGCCCCAAGAGGAAAAAAACGCTAGATCCATCAAAAGATCTTAAGTCTTAATCTTCGGGATGGTTGCAAGGCTTTGCATCCAGCGCCAGTCGCAGCGGCAAGTCCCCCTGAGGCCAGGGGTCGCCGGTCTCATAGGACTCATGCGCTGACATAGATCAGCTTCTTGAGGGATTGTTTTTGCACAGAAAATATTGACTGTGTGGTGTTCAGGCAAGCCTGGGATGGCCAAGTGGATCTAGGCACTTGAATGCATGACTCAAAAGCAAGGTGCTCTTTTCATGATATCTCAGGTCAACAAGGATTTTTTCAGGCCCTTCCAAGGCAGAAGACCAGTGCCAGCATGTCCTCGGTGTCTGACAGAATGCTCCCTGAAGGCTACCGGCTCAGCTGCAGCAGGCCTTGCTTGTCGAAGTCTATTTGGGCATCGTCCAAAAACCCCTAAAATGGAATCTGACATAAAGCGACCATGGCTGGCTTAGAAGGCCTTGCGCGAAAGGTCGCGATGGTGCGCGTGAAAGGAACTTTGGATTTCGCGAAAGAAGTATCGTAAGCTATAGTTCTTTACTTACTTTCAAACATAACTGTTTCCCTTCTTGCAGTCTGCAGGCATGCTTGCTTCCAGGCATGCTCAAAGGGGAAAGGGTTGCAAGTTTTTCTGAGGCACAGGATCAGTCTGAGAATTCTTACCCGACAATCCGCGAAAGATCCGCAAAAGGTCGCGTAAGCCAAGCAAGCCCTCAGCATTGCAAGCCATGGGAGACGACAGAGCTTCTGCGACGCGGTTTTGGGGTTAAGGGCTTCAGTTATAGAATTGAGCGTAGGGTCAAGAGTTCTTTTGAGAGCTCAGGGCTTGGTTTCTGCCGCAAGCATGCTTCCGCGAAAGCTCGCGATGGTGTTCGCGAAAGGAACCTATGATTTCCGCGAGGAGGTCGTTTTGTGATGGAGTAATATTGGATAAAGCCCATTTGTTTCTGTGTATTGCAAAGTTGTCCCCAGTTGTTTGGTGAGCATTGACAAAGTCTTCCAGCCCCAATGGCTGAACAGCACATCAGCCAGGTGCGACTGAAGTGCCGGCAGCCACCCTGGGAGATGGCAGCGCTGGGGAGAAGGCGCGGCATGCGGTAACCTGCCCGCTTCCGAACGCAACGCCAACTGGATGCGTTATGGGACTGTCGCTTCGGGCCTTGCTGTTCAGATGGGAACGATTATGCTGCTTGCTCCACTGGCTGGAGGGTTGGCCACACTCATTAGCCTTATCAAACGCATTGCCTGAGGCTAGATCAGGATTGTAGGTAGAGTGCTTTCGCCGAGCAACATCTTGCTGGCTGCTCCATGCCACTATGATCTCATGGTGCGACCGTCTTGCAGCTTCAAGTGAGGCTCAGGGCGCGGGGCTCCAGGCAACTCTGAAACCCCAAACCCTAAACCTAAACCTTAACCCTCAACCCTGAACCCTACTTGACAAGGGAGGTTACAGCCGCAAGACCTGGCCTTCTAAGATATCGAAGCTCCATGTGTCAGGTCTACGATCTAGAAGATCGCGCGGCCCTGGGCCAGTTCATCCTGGACTGCACTGCTTTGGGTGCAGTACTTGGACGGGCTGGGAATTAGCCAAATGGCTAGCACTTCGGACTCCACGCCATTTTGACCTTCAGAAGCATTACAGTACTATCCATTCAGCTAGGACGTTCGACCCATGTATCCTTCAGGCTTATGGTAGCTGTGCAAGCCCCAAATTAATCTGACATCCAAGTGGAAAGACCCCAAGCTAGCGGCCCTGGGGATGCCCAAAGTAAAGAAAGAACGTCTAAAGGGTTTCGAAAGCTATCCCGGAGAAGCCATGGGAGCTGGGTTGGAGGTTAGGACTTCAAGAGTCCCATGAGGATTTTCCGGGATGCTGTAGGGGGGTTTAGGACTGATGCAGGGATGTATGGGGATTACCTAAGGCCCCAAGGTGCCTAAGGCCCCAAGGTTCAAGATCATGGGGGGTTGATCCACGTAGACTCCCTGGCGTGGGCGTGGTTCCTGCTGATGGTATGTTTGCAATCTGATGATACGAGTCGCAAGTTTATGAATATACGGAGAGCTTAGGTACCTTTTGTCCACCCTGTGGGATCTTTGGAGAATGGGTCAGTGTGTCCATGACCTGGAGCAGGTAAGTCCTGCAGAAGTGCTGAAGGATCGTGACATTTGATTTCCGTCCCTTGGGATGTCGGAACTTCCTGCCGATGTGATCTAGCCCGACTTTCCTACGACCTCCAAGCATGCGTCTAGCAAGAACAGATCAGGTCGTTTTCAGGTCATAGCATCTCTCAAGCACTAGAACCGTATCCTTCGGGTTCAAAGTGTCACATCCCTCGGCTTGACTCCAGGATGCCAACATCGGCCTGGTCCGAGCAGAGCCTCCTGGACAGCGCTGAGGAGGGGGTGCGAAGAGTTCATAGTTTCCTTTCTTTTGGGTCAGAGGGGAAATTTTCTTCCTCTTCATGAAGGGTTTGTTTGGGCCCTTCAGCCCGCAGCGGGTCATCAGACCCGATGGTCTCCAGCCTGCCCAGGGAGGCCGCGTCGCAAAAGGTGTCGGGGTTTGAGTTGGAGATGCAGGGTGGCTGGCTGTGCGGTGTAAGGCGATGTTGTGAGGGCTGGGTTTTGGGTGGGGCATGGTGTACAGCAAAGCCATCCGGGGAATCAGAAGCAAGGATGCAATGACCTACGATCTTTGACATTTGATACTTTCGGACTGAAGTTGCTGTTGCGCTTAGGTATTTCTACAAGCTGCGGAAGGCGAAGACCGCCTTTCCGCGCCGGCAGGAAGCCGATAGCGAGACCTGCCAGCTTTCCGATGGCAGCGAGGTGTCTGCAATTGTTTCAAGAGAAGAGATCAAGGAATGGGCCACAGGTCCCAAGAAGGCTATCATTTGTTCCGTGTCTCACAGCTGGGAGACTCGGGAACATCCAGACCCCTGCCGGTTCCAGTTGGAACAGATTGTGAATTATGAGTCCTTGTTTGATGCCGCTTACTTCGATGATATTTGGCTTTTCTACGATTACGTGTCTCTCTTCCAGTTCCAACGAACTCCAGAGGAGGATGTCCATTTTCAAGCCGCCATGGGCAACATGCACACTCTTTATGCGCACAATTTCACACGGACGTTCCGAATCGAACGTCTCACCCCCGAGCCTGTCTGGCAAGCGATGCTGGAAAACTCGGCAGAGCAAGTGCGTGTTTATTTTGATCAAGTCAAGGCGGTCAGTCCGCGCCCTCTGAAGGATCTGGTTGAGAATCGGGTCCCGTATAGCGACCAAGGTTGGTGCAAGGCGGAGGTGGAGTGGTCCTCAACCCGAGACTTCACGGCCAAGAATCAGCGCATTGACGCTGCTGCTGCGGAGGAGGAGTGCTCTGGCCTGAAAGGCCGAGTTCCGACTACTCCCGAACTGTTTGAAGCCCAAATGTCTAAGGCCAAGTTTACCCACCGCGCAGATGCCGGAAGTGTACAGTTTTTGCAAGCCAAAATCTATCACCAAAAGGTCTCGGCTTGTCAGGAGGCAGTGTTTGAGCACTTGCCTACAGCAGAAGTGGCCAAGCTGGCAGCAGCGCTCCCGCATTACAAGCAGCTCCGAACTTTGTGCTTATGGAACTTCGACTGCGGCGTGGACGAAGCCGAAGCACTTGGCGAGGCCGGTCTGTGGTTGTGAGTGCTGCCGGGTCCGTGACTCTCAGTGTCCTGTTGTCTAGTGCCCACTAAAGCTAAGTTGATCGCAGGGTGCGTGAAAAGATCTGGGATGCGGTGGTAGGATTGCAAGCATTGGCTCTGGATCCTATCGTGTACTAAGTAGACTAAGTGTGACAGATCGTTCATGTAGTCGGAGCCATCAGGCATGTGCATGCATCCAGGCTCATTAATTCCGGGATCCGCGACACTTGCTGCAGCACTTGAGTCGTAGTGTTGAGCTACACCTGGCAGGGCTTCCGTGCACGTACATCCATACATATCCACCGAGCATGCGTGCTGCCTGGGTGGCAGTTAGGTTTTCGTGAGGTCGCAGGCCATCGGCTACCATCCGACCCTCCAAGAGCTGGAGATGCAGGCAGCTGAGGGCATGGACACAACAGCTCTCCGGCAAGCATTGGTTATACGGCTGCTTTGACGTGTTTTCATCACCTCCATGTTGCCCTGGTACCCGAGGCCCTGGTGGAGGCTCATTTGGTAGCGGAACAAAGATTGGCACCGAGAGTGCCAGGGCTGTTGCCTCCTTGTTGTGCTTGTGTGCCAGGCGCTTTCCGAAGCCTTGAAACGCACTACCACCATCACCTCTGTCGACTTGGCTGGCAATCACATCTGTGATGAGGGTGAGAAGGCCCGTGTGGGTGTTTGGATAGCTTGGTGGACTTTTTGCCTCCTTGTCGCCTTTGTGTGCCAGGCTCTCGCTGAAGCTCTTCAGCACAACAACACGTTGACCACCCTCGACTTGCAGGACAACTGTATCGGTGCTGAGGGTGGAAAGGCCCATGTGGGTGTTTGGGGAGCCTGGTAAGCTTTTTGCCTCCTTGTTGCCTTTGTGTGACAGGCTTTCGCAAAAGCTCTCCAGCACAACAAAACGGTCACCACCCTCAACTTGAATGGCAACAAAATCGGCGATGAGGGTGCTCAGGCCCGTGTAGGTGTTGGGGGAGCCTTGTGGACTTTTTGCCTCCTTGTTGCCTTTGTGTGCCAGGCTTTTGCTGAAGCTCTCCAGCACAACAACACGCTCGCCGCCGTCAACTTTAATTACAACGATATCTGCGCTTCAGATCTGGAGGCATGGTTTTGGGAGTTCCCGTAGACTGCATCCCACCGAATCCCGCCCTGGTACGCTAGGTCGTTGCAGAAGCTTTCAGGCAGCGCTTCTTATTGGGATGCATGATTTTAGGGCTGGGTGCTTTCCTGCCGTGCAGTTTTTCTTCAAGTGGTCGGCTCCTCTTCTGCGGGGTTTGGGGCAGTCGGGGCATCAAGCGGACGAGGAACGGCATCCCAATGCTGGCGATGTTGCGGGGTGCGGACCTGTAAGATCCTGTAAGCCTGTTTGCTGCCTTCGAGGGTTCAAGACGTTTGCAGTGACATCCCCTCATATCCCCTCGCCTTAAAGTCTTAAAGCGTCCGGAGCCGGACGACCAAGATCTCCGGAAGCGACTGCGGCCGTGACCGGCTTCAGAGTGCTCGCAGGAACATGGCGTTTATCATTTGCAACTCGTCGGCCGCCAAAGAAACATCGCGACGATGAGTACAAAGCGCAAGCGAAAACGCCTTCCAACAGGCAAGATGATCTCTCTCACTCCCTGTCTCCCTTCCCCTCCATCTCTCGCATGCTCAGACCGGCGTAAGAAGCTTCTTTTGGGGGCAGGTTCAGGGTGAGTGCAGGTGGCTGCTACTGTTTCGTCATGGATCTCCCCCAGCAAAAAAAGAGCCTTTAAACAGGCGCTGCCCAAAGTCCTGGTCATCCAAGGGGGTCCTCGCTGCCTGCCAAGCTTGTGCCCAGTTTATGGCTTTCGCTGCTGGTGTGACTCTGACCTGATGGATATGCGTAGCAAGTTCCTGAAAGCCATAGCTGGAAGGATCGAACGAACCAACAGCTTTCAAGTTAGATTCGCACTGTCCCATGCGGGAGTGAGCCTGTGACCAGCACCTAGACCCTAAAAAATTGCCTAAAGCCCCATACCCCACTGCCGCTACACTGCCTCTTAGTTGTGCTAGTTCGCTACGTATGACGACTTGAAGGTGCAACCAAAAAGGGTGCCACCCAGATATGTCTCAGTCTTTTGAGAACTTTCCTTGATGTTCGGACCGCTCATGGCAAGCTGCTTTGTTTGTGTGCACGATTTCTTCGGAATCTTCACGAGCGATGGGGATCAGGACACTCTACTTTGTGCTACCACACTCGGTATCGACTTGCCGTCAGTTGGATCGTAGCCTCTGGTAACAGCAACTAAACCAATGTTGGGATGCATGTGCCACCCCTCAACCACGGCAAGCCCACATCTGAGCTGCATGGTGGTTCGTGTCCGTGGCCAAGTGCTAGTCTTGAGCTGTGTTCTGTATGCTTGCGAGTGGCGCGGTCCTTTTCAGAAAGCGCTGAACAAAAACTGTTGTTAGCCTTGCGCCTTTTGCATTCTTGTGGTGGCAGGCTTCTGGGCTGGAGACGGAAACGGCTGTTCTTTCAGAACATCCCCGCATCAAGGAGGGACCTGCGTCCATTCATTATTTGGGGAGCCTTCCGGACTTCCTTGTTGCCGTTGTTGTGGTAGAAATTAGCAACAGCACCCATGTACGACAGCTCTATCGACACTATAGGTTTGGCCGGCATGATGAGTGCTGAGGGTATGAAGTCCGGTTTAGTTTTTCGGGGAGAGTGCATGCACTTTTGACTCCTTGTTGCCTTTGTGTGCCAGGCTCTCGCTCAAGCTCTCCGGCACGACAACACGTTGACCACCCTCGACTTGCAGTGGAGCAGCATCGGCGAGGAGGGTGCTCAGGCCTGTGTGGGTGTTTGGGGAGCCTGGTAGACTTTTTGCATTCTTGTTGCCTTTGTGTGCCAGGCTCTCGCTGAAGCCCTTGAGCACAACAACACGGTAACCACCCTCAACTTGAAGTCGAACGATATCGGTGCTGAGGGTGGGAAGGCCCGTGTGAGTGTTTGGGCAGCCTTGTGGACTTTTTGCCTCTTTGTTGCCTTTGTGTGCCAGGCTCTCGCTGAAGCTCTGCAGCACAACAGCACGTTAACCACCCTCGACTTGACGGACAACTGTATCGGTGCTGAGGGTGGGAAGGCCCGTGTGGGTGTTTGGGGAGCCTGGTCTTGAGTTTTGCCTCCTTGTTGCCTTTGTGTGCCAGGCTTTCGCTCAAGCTCTCCGGCACAACAACACATTGATCAGCCTCAATTTAAAGTTTACCAGAATCGGTGCTGAGGGTGGGAAGGCCCATGTGGGTGTTTGGGGAGCCTTGTGGACTTTTTTTGCCTCCTGGTTGCCTTTTAGTGCCAGGCTCTCGCTGAAGCTCTTCAGCACAACAACACGTTGACCACCCTCAACTTGGCGGCGAGTGATGTCGGTGCTGAGGGTGGGAAGGCCCGTGTGAGTGTTTGGGGAGCCTGGTGGACTTTTTTGCCTCCTTGTTGGCTTTGTGTGCCAGGCTTTTGCTGAAGCTCTCCAGCACAACGACACGTTGGCCACCCTCGACTTGAGCAGCAACGAAATTGGTGTTGAGGGTGCTCAGGCCTGTGTGGGTGTTTTGAGGGAGCCTAGTGGACTTTTTTGCCTCCTTGTTGCCTTTGTGTGGCAGGCTTTGGCTGGAGCTCTCCAGCACAACAGCACGTTAACCACCCTCTACTTGGATGCCAACGATATCGGTGCTGAGGGTGGGAAGGCCCGTGTGGGTGTTTGGCGAGCCCTGTGGAATGTTTACCTTCTTATTGCCTTTGTGTGCCAGGCTTTAGCGGAAGCTCTCCGGCACAACAGCAGTTGACCACCCTCGACTTGCAGTACAACAATCTCGGTCCTGAGGGTGGGAAGGCCTGTGTGAGTGTTTGGGGAGCCTGGTGGACTTTTTTGCCTCTTTGTTGCCTTTGTGTGCCAGGCTCTCGCTGAAGCTCTTGAGCACAACAACACGTTGACCACCCTCAACTTAGACTCAACTTAGAGAGCGGATCCGAGCGCTTTTCCGAGGTGCAAAACTGTGCCGCCTGGGGTCCTTCTACAGAGTCACCCCAAGATGATTCAAGATAGGATGATTTGGAAGAGGGAAGGTGGGAGTCAAAGCCATTCAATGTGAGTTCCCAAAGGCAGCAGAAGACGAGAGCCCATCTGCGACTTGATGTTCAAATTTGTTGATAGAATCTGTTTGAGCTGTGTGCTCTTGTTTGGTGGCAACAGCATGGCAATGTGTGGTGTGAACAGGAAAATCCAATTTATCTACCCCGAGTTAGCAAGAACCGCGATACGAGGAGTGACCAGAAAGTCATGCCAGTTTGGCGTCTCTTCGATCTTGAGATTGAAGCAGTATAGCTGATGGCACACTGCCCGCGACCAGATGTACGCCACTTGGATACTCCCCACCCTCAGTAACAGTTAGGTAGTTTTTATTATGCTAAAAATATGTACAGCCTCAATACTACCTAAACTTCCTGAACCCTAAGCCCCTACTGTTCCTGGGTGGGGGCAGTAGCCAGAGCACTACCGACACCTTGTGACACGTGGATGCTGCAGGCCTCAAGCCCCAGCGAGGGGCAGTTGGCAGTAGAAAGCCGTTTGGAGCAACCGCACCTAGGAGTTATCTTATTACTCATCTTGTTGGCTTAAAGAGCTTAACCCCTAAACCCCTTATCCTGAGACATGGCCATGTGGTAGCTTGCAGCTTCCAGCTGATCTTATGCTTGATTCTTTGCTGTAAACCGTCAAGTCTAAAATCTGTATAGATGTATCTACAATCCTTCGTCCTGTAAACACTTCCGCATGCTGGAACTCACCTGAAGCATACAGGGCAGAACCACAGGACCCGCAGCCCGAATCTGCAAACCTACACCATCACATCCCAACTGTCAGTTGCACCCTAACCCTGAGGCCGTAGCTCCGCAATGTAGAAGCCTGACAGTAGTCTTAGAAATTACAAGACCTATTCCCTTTTAATCCTCATCCGCTGCAGTAGAATCTGCATTTAAGCCTCTTTTCAAACAAAATTTAGTTTGAAACATCTCTAAACTTTAGGTGAGTCGAATAGGCCCCTGCACTAGTCACTGGCCCTTGACCCTGAGCTATTTGTGCTGAAGCCATGGCGCCCAAAGATGGTACACGTCGGCCGCGACCTGGTTGCTGTTATTGATTGTCCGGATAGGGCCTACAGTGTAGGGTTGAAGGTTTTGGGTTCAAAGCTTAGGGTCTAGGGTTCAGGGTTAGGGTTTAGGGTTCAGGGTTTAGGATCAGGGTTTTAGGGTTGAGTTTCAGAAGTTTGCGTGTACAGTCTAGGGTTGAGGGTGGTTTATGGCATAATATCTGGTCATAGGGTGCCCTCATGTGGACTCAGTATAGACCCCAACATTTTGCAACCCTCATTATGGGGACTCCCCAACAGGGGCTCATGATTTTCCAGAAGTTGGTCTTCGGGCTGGGATTTAGGGTTTATCATGACATTAGTCGGTCTGGAAATTTTGCCTTGATGGTTACACATCCTATGTCCCTGTAGAAGTTTTCGAAGGCCGCGTTCGAAGCCCTTCATGAGTAGAACTGTCCATCAACTTTTGGTTGTAGTCTTAAACCCTAAACCCTAAACCTAAACCTTAAACCGCCCATGGTCCTACCAAGCCCTACACCTAGAGCCATTAAATCCCAAACTCAACCTCCAAACCCTACGCGGAAGAAGGGGCTGGAGGTTTGTGTAGCAGCCCCACATACTCTTTACTAGCCGTCCCCAGACAGTAACTCATACTGCTTCATTCCCTTCCCTCCTTGAACCCTAAACCCAAACCCCACAGCGCTCAATACAACAGTAGCTTCCATGTTCTTGCTTATTCCTTCATTCCCCACTAAGCACCGCCAGCAAGCTAAGTGCGGTTGCAAGCAAATCGAAGTTTAGGCTTTAGGCCTTAGGGTTTACGGTTTAGGCCTTAGGATTTAGGCCTTAGGGTTTAGGGTTTAGGGCTTTAAGCTTTAGGGTTAGGGCAAGCTTCGGTCAGGCCTCTCATTTATTTGCTGGCGGGCAGACAGAAAAAGTTCCCAAACGCTTCTGCTTCAGCCATAAAGGCCTGCTATAGAAGCCTGAATAAAATCTAAACTCCTTAGTTATAGAGGAGATTATATAGGGGACTATTGTAGGGGTCATGAAGGCGGATGCTAGGAGTGTAGCCTCACATCGGGAAGATCTTCGCCATTCGAAACAGTAAGGGAGAAGCTTGGGCAAGTCTCGACATTCTTCCTTTTTCTTTCATAACGCTTTTCTAATTATAGAACTATAGTATGATATGCTCAGAGATGGACGGTATTTTGTTTTTCGGGTTCAGGAGTTCAGGAATGAAGGACAATGGGGACGGCTATGGAATTTTTGAGTGGAAGCAGTATAGGTACCCGTTCCCCTTAACCCTAAACCCTATAGTCCCCCTGAATAGAATATAGTTCCACGTAGATAGAATATGGCTTTGGGTATAGTAGAATAAGATTCCCAATATTCTATCTACTTAAGGAGGACTATAATCCTAAACCCTAAGCCCTAAACTTAAGGGAACCCCTAACCCTAAGGCCTAATGCATTTCCATGCACCCTAAACCCTATAGTCCCCCTAAATACAATACATCGAATATGAGGTATATGAGGAAATATAATCCATTTCCATATGCTACTTAAGGGGGACTATAATCCTAAACCCTAAATCCTAAACCTAAGGGAACTCCAAACCCTTCGGGAGTATAATCCATTTCGTAAGTTCATTCCCAACGCTCTGCTTCAGCCTCCACAGCCCTTCGACCCCCCCCACTCGAGCCTTCACTGTCCTGGGGCTGAGCCCTCACCACCAGGGAATCGTTTTTCAGGGTTGCTGTTAAGGAGCTTAAATTTAGATAGTATAACAAGGAAACCTTATTATCTACTATACACCCATCTTTTGGTAACTTAGCTTAAGTTCCTCCACACCAACCCAGTTTTGTTAGTTAGCACTAAATGCCAAAGACTTCGCTCAAAGACCTGTGTCCTGTAAGCTTTCAGGGAGCCCTACATGGCAATGGCCTGAAATGATCGCCCCCTTATGAGGGTCCCCATGTTAAGGATTCTAGCATCGGGGGCACTTTTTTTTCAGAGACCTCCCGCATGCAGCAAGGATTGTGATTGTTCCTGGATTCTGCTCGTCGCGCTTGGAGGCCCATCCTCCTTACTGAGAGTGTAGGGTTAAGGAATGCTGGGAGATGCGGACCACGTCTCGGAACTTGTGGTTCAGCGTTACCACCTTGCGGTACCAGAGTTGCTGCTGAGCATTAGGGATCGAAGTTCCTTTCCGGAACCGGACGTGATGGGGTTAGATCATTTAGGGTCAGGGGCTTTTGGATTTCAGTGTCTCAGTTTCGCCATGCGTCTCTTTGTTCATAATTATTCATAATATGCGGCACAGTGTCGAGCTCTTAGGGCTTCAGAGGTTTACTGTTAAGCTTTTCAAGGTTTCAGAGTTGCAGGGCTTGAGGGCAGTTGGCTTTTTGGATAAGGTTGGTGAGCTTCCTCTTGGAGGTCAAGATTTCGAGTTCAAGAGCCAATGCCTAGGCCTTGGAGCCTGCCACCAGAAAGAAAATCATCAGTGTCGCATCAAGTGTGTGGACTAGGATGAATTCCGCCTGTCCGTAAACCTAAGCCTGGAACCCTAATCCCCACAATCCCATGCCCTATCCTTAAACGTAAGCCTAGACCCTAAGCTTGAACCCCTTCATGTCCTTCAAAACTATCATGCCTGAACCTATACCCTGCACCGTCCACCAAGAGCCATTCTCCAGCCGCGCAGTGAGGTTGCAGAAAGCGATGTCTGCCCGTCTTGGAAAGGCCGGCTTCCTCTTAGGGTTTTTGGGGTTTGGGGTTTTGGGTTTTGGGGTTGAGGTGGAAATATGGCAGTTCCCATGGATCCCCTCGTAATCCCTACATATCTAAGGGTCCCGAAAGGTATCCCTGTTTGGGAACAGGATCCTAATCGCCAGCTGGCAGGTTCTTCCTGCTCTTTCTCTTTTGTGCTGATGCTGCGCCGGTTTGAAGTGTGGTGTCCAGGGGAAGGGATGATGACCAAAACTTATTGCGCATGCGTCTTTGAAGCCTCCCGAGTTCCAAGTGACGGCATTCGGGTTCGTGGCCCCGATGAGGTGCAATCAAATTCGCTTGCAACGCCTACACGTCCCATACTACTATAGTGCGCATTCAGATTGCTCATGTTGTTGTGCTGATGATGACTGTTCTGGTCATTTCTGAGGGTTTAGGATTTAATTACTTCCCAGTGAAGCCCCGAGATCTTGATGACAACAAGCCTTTCTCTTTTTGACATGCTAGCTGTGCACATCACCAACTCTGATGCCTGCAGGGGTTTCTCAAGAATAGGGGTATCACCCCAACATGGAGAGTTATATGGAAAAAGAAATGCAAGCTGAGATGGAAACTGGGAGAAACCGTAAATTTGAAGAGGGTTCATCCTCAAAATCTCGATTCTGATGTTCCCCCAGCCTGCTGCCCCCGCAGTGCCTCAACCTGAATCTCCCATGGTGCCACGGAATCGACATGCCTGGAATCCGAAATCCCTGGCAGGGCTAGAAAGTTTTGAGAACTAACACAAGCCCAAAACCAAAGCCTACAACTTCAAGATGCAAATCCAAGATGGAAAGGCTGCACGGATTGAGATCTGAACCCGAAACTTCAATCCTAGGCAGTAAGCCCTCAGATGGAGAGGCCGAAAACCTTGAAGGCTAAGCCCCAACCCCCCAAATCCTAAACCTCTGAACCCTCAAACTCCTACACCTTAAGCACCCTTTAGGGTTTAGGGTTTAGGGTTTGACGCCATAAGCCCGTAAACCCTAAGCCCCCAAAGATGGAGAGGCTACAAAGTTTGGCTTGGACTTTCAAGTATCGGCTTCACAGCCATGTACCCCGGCCTTGTGACATGGAGGTTGTAAAGCTTTGAAGGGTTCAGGGTTTAGAGTCCCAAGTAGCGGTGTAGGGTTAGGGTTTACAGTCCGAGTTGCTAAGCCCACCCCAAATTCTACATTGGCACAGTAGGTCTTCATTGCATAGGCTGAGAAACTGCCCAGGTAATGTCCTGAAATCTATTAGACATACGATTTGCAAGTACCACTATGGAATTTGCAAACAGGCGATTTTTGGGCAGGGCTTCGGCGCATTTTTTTGGTGCAAACATATGAGAACCCAGAGCCCAGGTTCAAGGTTTAGGCCTCCGTAGGTCTTGGGGTTACGGTTTGGTTTAGGGTTTAGGGTCTAGGGTTTAGGGTTTGGGGGCTGGCATCTGAAACCCATGGGACCTGATCGCATGACGTGGGTTTTCATAGCTTGAGCCAGCTTCAGGCAATGAATGAATGAAAAACACAGCCTTGCGCATTGCCACGAGACACCCTTACGCCCAAACCAAGCGTGTACGTTTTTAGACCCAGCCCTAAACCCCAAACCTGCAGCACGTTCGACGGCCCAGGCACAGCAAGGGCACCTTCGACGATGCGCAGGCTACTTGGTAAGCCCTTGGCCACATAGTAAACCCCAAGCTCGTTACACTAAAGGCAAAGCAGCTGTCAGTTTAAGTAGAGTAGGGTTTTGGAGCATATTGCCTGCTTTGTGGGACCCTGAAGTGGCCACGGGGTTAGGGATCTTCTTGTACCGGGGCCATTACCGGCATAGAGGTCGTTTGGCGAAATGCAGAGTCCTTCAACTCCACCTTAAACCCCAAATCCAACACCCGTCATCCAAAGTAGAGCCTGAGCTTTCACCTGAAAGCCTTTTCATGTACTGTCCCCCTTAAGTAGATAGAATATGGGGTATATGGGGATCTTATTATAGTTTACCCAAAGCCATATTCTATCTACTTAAGGGGGACTATACGACTATGAGGAGATATTGCCTTTGAAGGAGGACTTCTCGCACCACCCCAAGTTTTCCACCAGATCCTAGCAAGTGCAATACTTAACAGGCCTCAGGTGGTGCAAGAACCCAGAAAGTCCAATATCCCTTAATTAGGTACTATACCTTAAATCATATTAGGGATCCCTAATATAATTTAAGGTATATTCCTAATTGAGGGATATTGGACTTTCTGGGAAGTCCTACATAAGCTGTAAAAGTTCCTCCTCAGGATTCGAGAGACTTCCAAACCCTGAGCCCTGAGTCACGCAAGCTCTACTTACAAGCGCCAAAACCCGTAAATCTCAGCCTCTACACCTGAAACCCCCAGACCCTAAACCCTGAATGCAAGCCCGAAGCTGAAAATACTAAACCCTAAACTCATAAACCTAAGCTATGCCAAAAGGCGAAGCTGCTGAAGAATAAGTGGCTCCAACATCTGGTCCTGGCAGATGCAGAGCATGAGGCGCACTGTAGTAAGCTTTGATCTAATGTGGTTTAGGGTTTAGGATTTAGGATCTATATAGGATGCAGGGTTTAGGGCTTGGGATTCAGGATATAGGGTTTGGGGGGTTAGCATGGGTCATTTTAAAGGCTAAAGTACGATACAGGGTTACATGGGGATTCAATAGGTTTAAGGTATGAGGGGTAGGTTTGAACATGTTGCAAAGTTTGCATGGTGTTAAGTTCCTATAAAATCCGTAGAAGGCCATGAGCAAATGCTGTTTTTAGCGCCCCCCAAACATACCCTAGTGAGGTTTGGTCTACCCTCCCCCAACTGACATGAGTTCTAAAAGGGTTATGCGGGGGTACGGGTACAGGGGGCTATATAGGGATGTCTAGGGGTATGCAAGGTTTTGGGTGTACCTTACCCAAACTAGCACGGAAGCCCAGAAAGTTTCACCATGAGAGTTGGCCTTACGGTTCACGGCTTGCTTCGCCAATTACCCTCCCCCAAACTAACATGAAACCCCATATGGCCCTCCTTGAAAGTGTGTAGTGAAAGTACAGTAGTTTTCATGGGGCCTTTTTTTGGGTTAAATTTCAGTTTGCGGGAGTGCATGTGATCAAGAGTTCCTAATTGAGTTGCTGGTGGTTGTGGGGAATCGAGGAATATGCTGCATGGACTACAGCATGGTAAGTGATTTTAGGGGCTACTATACCGATCCATTCCTGCATTCCCTACAAGTCACAAGGGTAGCTGGTGGCGGAGCGCGCTTTAGCTCCGCTTTTGAACCAGATGTCTAGGCTCCTATACTGGTTAGCTTGAATCCCAAGCAAAGAGGTCAGCCCGCACATCGGATATCTGTACACTAGACCTTGGGTCATTCCCCCTTACAGTAACTGTTACCACAATGGGTTATAGGAGTTATAAGAACCTCTTATTAAGGCCCCTTTAAGGACAGTTGCTGGGAGGGGGAATGACCCAAGCTAGACCCGCAGGCATGTAAAACTCGAGTCCCGAAGTCTGCAGGGCTCTTCACTTGAAAGTGCAATGGCATCCCTAAACCCGAAACCCTGAACCCTAGACCCTAAACCCTAAACCCTAAACCCCAAACCCCAAACCCTAAACCCTGAACCCCAAACCATTTCGCTTCTAACATCGAGTCAACCTTAGACTCGAGACGTGGCTTGGAAAGATGACACCATGGTATGGTCGTCTGTGCCGGGTGGTTGTGGGTTTAGGGTTTAGGGGTATGGACATATCCCGTGTACAAATGCCTGCAGCCACAGGCGCAAGGCTTACAAGTTAGGGCCTTATAAGGTTCATACCGCACGCATTCCCTGATCCCAACCGCAGACTCCGGACTCCAGACCTTCAACGCTCAATCTGGAACTTCGTCTACATGACCAGACCTGTGAGTCCGGAGTAGCAGATAAAAAACCACTCCACACATCGCGGCCATAACCGTAAACACTACTACTAGGTTCCTCTGGGGTAATGTAGACCCTGATTAATAAACCCCTTCCCTTTGGTAGGATTATAATAGGGTTCCTAGTCTTAAGGCCCTTAAAAGGAGGGGGCTGATTAATCATGGGTTTACATTACCCTTTTTGCTTTGGGCGCCTTGTTCAAATTGAATATTCGGAAAATGGTTACCCTTATCATTCACTGGGGAACCTAACCTAAGTAACCTGTTCGGCGCTCAATGATCGCTTGTAGGCCTGGGACCTTCATGTGAAGGCTCCACATCCACCGCCTCGAACTCTGGTGAAAATCCACTGGTAAACAAAGGTTTAGGGTTTCGGGTCCTTTCCGCAAGCCCTACACCTTGAATATGCTGAAAATCCCAATGTGGTAGTTTCTCAAGATATTTGTCCCCTAAACGTCCATAAGGTAGGTTCCCTTTTTGGCTAGGATCCACTTTTAGGGGAATTGTATTCCCAACGCTCTCTCGCTTACGAAGAGATTCTGAACAACTCTCACGTACTCCGCTAAAAAGGGCGTCATCCCTGAATACCTAAAGGCAACCTCAAGTCCCCAAACATAGTCTTCTTGTCACCTCTAAACCCCTGGCTCAGAAGCTACGCAGTATAGGTTTTAGGGCTTAGAATTAAGCTGTAGGTTTAGTTAGGCTTTAGGGTTTTGTAAAAGCTTCAGGGTTTCCTCTACCCCATGACCCTAACCCTAAGGGTCCAAGGACCCAAATAATAGGGTTTTAGGGCCCAAATACCGTAGATATTATAGTAGTTGGGCCCTAAAACCCTATGATGTGGGTCCTTGGACCCTTAGGACCCTAAACCCTAAACCCTAAATCCTAAACCCTAAACCCTAAATCCTAAACCCTAAACCCTAAAACTGACCTCCTCCCCTCTACGTCCGAGGCCGCCGGGGTACGCTTGACGGTCGTCCCCGGCATCGCAGGCGTCAACTACTTGGACCCCGACAGCTCTTGGGACAGATTTCAAAGTACGCTTCTCTTATTAGCTGTGTGTATATATATATATATGTGTGGGGTTTAGGGCTGAGGGTTGGGAATAATGGAATATAGTATATAGGGGTCATATAGGGACTAACAACCCGAGAGCCTCTCTTTTGCGTTCGTTATAAAGCCATAGGGAATCGTCGAGACAATTTTTCGACTTCAACATGAACTCTTTCAAGCCCTGAGCACCCCTAAGCTCAAAACACGAGATTCCATATGTTTTCTAAATCGTAAGCCCCAAGCCCTAAACCCTAAACCCTAACCCTAAACCCTGAACCCTGAACCCTAGAGCCTGAGCCCTACATCCTAAAGCCGAAGCCCTAAACCCTAAACCTTAAACCCACATCCTTAAGCCCTAAACTCTGAACCCTAAACCCTAAACCCTAAGCCCTACACCCTGAACTACCCTAAACCGTGTTGAGGCTTTTTCGGCTTGGCCGCGGAAGCAAGCAGCTGGGCAGAGTTCCAAGCTTCGGCTTGGAGGGTTTTGCATATTAAAAGCTTAGGCCTTAGGGGTTTAGGGTTTAGGGCTTAGGGTTTAGGCTCTAGGGATTTAGAGCTTAGGGTTTAGGGCTCAGGGTTGGGGGGGCTCTTGGATGTGAAAAAGGTTGGAGCTTTTAGAGTCCAGGGTGTTGGGAGATGTGCCGTCTGGGGTCTTTAGCGCAACGCGCGCATGAGCGCTCAAAGCCTAAACCCTAAGCCCGAAACCCTATATACCCTAGAATCCGAAGGCCTAACTCCTTTGCTTTTAGCCATGAACTCCAAACCCAAAACCAAAGATCCTAAGCCTTGAGCTAAACCTAACTTACTGCTTCTCAGTGGGGAATGAGGGGATGTAATCCCTATTCAATCCACATATAATGTATTCCCTTATTCCCTACTAAGAACCGAGGCTATGTGTTCGCACCTGTTGTGCGGATTCTGGAGTCGCTGGGCTACGTCGAGGGCACTGACTTGATTGCGGCACCCTATGACTGGCGTCTCTAGGATTGGTCCAGGGGCAGGATTGAGGGTTTAGGGTTTAGGGTTGAGGGTTTAGGGTTGAGAGTTGAAGGTTTAAGGGTTGAGGTTTTAGGGATTAGAGTTGGGCGTTTCAAGGGCAAACACAGGGAACCAGGGCGACGGGGGGGACGGCTCCACCAAAAACCCTAAACCCTAAACCCTAAACAGAAGTTGGAGTGGGCACCTTGCAGAATAGGTTTATATGAGCCATAGTCTAAACTCCTTAAAGGGGGGTAAAATAGGGGATTATGTAGGGGACTACTTTAGGGGATATTAAGAGGGATACGAGGAGTTTAGACTATGGTTTATATGGAGTGTTGGGGCTTCCCATTTTGGGAATGGGATTCATGGGGTTTGGGGTCTAAGAGGCTTAGGACTTTGAGTTTGCATTTTTTGTATGTTGCAAATGACTCACTCCCAGAATCGTTTGAGGTAGTACTGATCATCGCTCAAGCCGTGGGTTCAGCACCATTTACTGACCCTTTCCTGAGGCCATTAAGTAGGAAGGGCTTACAAGGATTTCTGGCTAGGGCTCAAGGCTACAGTTAAAGACGTTTACTACAGGTATTGGCCCCGAACCCCAACCCCTAAACCCCTCACACCCGTACATACCCCCATCTACAGCACGACTCTCGGAAGGCCTCTACACAAACCTGTAATATCCTAAACCCTGAACCCTCAAGCGCAAAGCCGGAACCCTAACCCCCCGCCCCGCCAAGCCCTACATAGGGCCTCATAGGGGCCGCTTTCGGGTTCCCTAAGCCATGTTACCCCATTACAAAGAGCCCAGGCTTCGCTCCGTCCATGATGGAGAAGAGGGATGGCTACTTCCAGAAGCTGGCGGGGCTGTGGGAAGATGCTGTGGAAGTGGTTTAGTGTTTAGGGTTTTGGAGTTGGGTTTGGGGTTGTTGGGGTTTAGGTTTTAGAGGTGTAGCATGTGTGGGTTTGAGGTCGGGATGTTGGGTTTTGATTTCTGTGGCTTTAGGGTCCAGGGTTGGGTTTAGGGTCTAAGGGTGCAGGGTTATTCTGATGGCAGGCTTGTGAAGGAATTCTCTTGAGTGACCCTCGCTTATCTTGTCAAACTTCTTGCTGGCTCCATAGTCCCCCTTAAGTAGATAGAATATGGCTTTGGGTATATTCTAAGAAGATCCCACTATATCCCATATTCTATCTACTTAAGGTCGACTATAGGTATGGCGCATTTGCGCAGGGATGGGACTGTAGACTCCGAATTTCATGGACTATGCTCTAACGCACAACATGACATTAGACTGGGTTGCTGTTAAGGAACATAAAATCAAGCTACCCCCAAAAGAGGGATTATATGTAGGAATAATGGAGAGTAAAATGGAAACTACTATCTAGGGTTTAGGGTTTAGGGTTGCCGTTAAGGAACTTAGATTTAGTTACCATAATGGGCTTCTATATTGATTGATATGGTTTCCCCAAAAGAGTCACGTGAATTGAGTTCCTTAACAGCAACCCTGTAGATTAGCAAAGACGCCCTTCCCGCAAAGACTTCCCCAGGTGTCAAGCATCGAGACCTTGGACAGAAGTGGAACTGGTGTGATCCTGCTTGCCCACTCGATGGGCAACAAGGTGCGCCAGTCTGACGTTAGCGGTTTGCCAAGGCTTTCGAGTTTCCTGGAATCTGGGTCGGGCAAAACCTGAGCTATAACCAGGTAATGCTCTATAGTCTCCGATAAAGATAATTATGGATTGATAACAAGGCTTTAGACTCCCTGATGCGTAGCAGGGAATGAGGGACTAAATTCTGAAAAATAGTCCCATTGGAATCCTCAATAATATTCCCCAACACAGGTTCCCCGATACCAATAGCCCCCATGCTCCGATTTCCTACGAAACACCAAGGAGTTCAGTAAGATTGGACCTCTTCCGCAAATCCCAAACCTCTCTGGGGAATTCTGGGGGAGTTGGCAGTACATTAGGCCCTAAACCCTAAACAGTAGTTCCCATTTTCTTTTCCATTATCCCTATATAACCCCTATATTACCCCATATAACCCATACCCCCTATAATCCCTAAGGTATAGGGACCGTTCTTGGGAACTATGGAGGGCTTGCGATAGGGATTCACTACCTAGTTCTATATGATACCGAGGCAGTAGGTAGAGCAGCGGAGCTCTAAACCCTAAACCCTAAACCCTAAACCCTAAACCCTAAACCCTAAACCACGCCACTGCCCAAGCTCTGTGAAGATTAGAGCCCTCAAGCCCTAAAACCCCAAACCCTACACCTTACAGCTCTAAGCCCTGAAAACCCTATAGTCTGGGTTGCTGTTAAGGAACTTAAATTAAGTTACCATATTTGGGAAACCCTATTATTTACTATATATACCTTAATTTAAGTTCCTTAACAGCAACCCAGTAGTTTGAGACAGCAGGGTTGGGTCAGGGCCTTGGCTGCAGAGGTTCGGGAGGTTTTAACTGGCATTAGCTCAACAAGCGCCAAGCCTGTGGTAGCTTCCGAAAATGTAAGGTCCCTTTATATGGGGGCTATAGAATACGGGCTATAGTCTTTTGAACTTAGGATTTGCGTCGCACCGCGTTCAGTTGCGAACCTGGACTCAGGAGTTGGGATCTAGACGTGGCTTGACAAGAGTTTCGATAGACCCATTAGGAAAAGTCTGAAAACATTCCAGGCCTTAGGCGTAATGCTGAATCCTTCAACCCCTGGAAACACAAAAAAGGTCCCGGATTTTGACAAACAAAGACTTGAGATATCACCCGGTTTGGGGTGGCACCCGGGGTTACCGTTAGCTGATTAGCCTTTTGTTAAATTCCTACCTAGCTAAGCCCCAAAGCTTGTATGCGCTAACGCCTCAATTCCCAAGCCTTAACTCTAAGCCCAACGCCAAGGGTGGGGCTAAAAAGTCGGAGAAAAGCCCAGATGCCAGGTCATCTCCTACTTCCTGGACTTCGTAGTGAAGAAGAAGGGGCAACCTTGCTCGAGGAAGAAGAACAAACAGTACTGCTTTTTACTAGGGTGTAGGGTTCAGGTTGCAGTGTCTGAGGTCTAGGAGTCAGGGCTTAGGGTGTAGGGCTATGGGTTAGGGATATGGTTTAGGCTCAGGCTGTAGGATTTGGGGTTCAGGGTTTAGGAGTTAGGGCTTAGGAATTTAGAGTATCGGCTTTGGTGGGACAGTGATTCCATTTTGTCACGGCTGCATTGGTGATTGTGATTCTCATAGGGCCCATGGCTGAGTTATGACCGTCGTCGTGATCGGTATCCAGGCATTCGTGTAGAAGCCTGCTTACCAATATTCATCCTCTATAATCCCTGCATAGCTTTGTACAAGGTCACTCCTTATCTGCTTGAATTGTTCAGGGCCTTACATTCAGGTTTAACGTCTGCTGCGGACATGCGAAACTCGCCAGAAAGAGAGGCCGAGGTGTAATCCTCAGCGCTTGACTTGATCCCCGCAGTATATGACATGTCCCCGAGCATCCTGACCAGAGTTGGGGTGGTAAGAAGATTTGTGCGGCTCGAAGTTACCTGCCTCTGGGCAAATGCTGCTTCAACCCTTGCATTTGCTGTGTCATTTTCATTGACAAAATACTTACCACTTCGCGGTGAAGAGCGTCTCACATGGTGCTGGTAAAGCTGGGTGAGGCTCCGACATGGCGAAGAATTACCCCCTGAGTGCATTTCCGTTGCAAGAAGCCCTGATTGCACCCCCCAAACCCTGAAGCCATCACCCCAAACCCCAACCCGTTACGCCCCAAACCCTTGATCTAAGGGCCTAACCCTGGACCGGAAATCTGGTATACAAGAGGTATATAAGGGCCCTATCATTCAAGGCCCATACCCTAAACCCTACACCCTAAGCAAGAAGCCAGACCAGGCAAGCCTGGGTGGACAAGCACATCCACCTTTGGCTGCTGGAATCCATTACTAACTTGGGGGTGTGTCAGGAACAGGCTTTGGTGTTTAGGGCTTTCAGTGAATGGATTACATTTCTTTTAGCTGATGGAGGGCTGGTAGGGAAAAAGGGAATATGTGTAGGGTCGTGAGGATCCAGGGATCTGGCTTGACAGATGATGTTTTTCGGGTTGTCGAAGGTTTCAAGTTGCAAGCTTGAGCTTCTTGGCCACGCCGTTTAGGGTCTAAGCTTCAGGGCTTGGGGTTTAGGGTTTAGGGGTCTAGGGTTTCGGGGTTGGTTTCAGGGTTTTGGGTTTAAGTTTTACGGTTTGCATTTGGCTGCAACTTGTTTGCGGCATGGCCTTCTGCGTGCCCACTGGTGTCATGCTGGTAGACACAAATACAGAAGGTGTTGCCCCCAAAACGGACGTGGAGGTTGAAGCCTAAGCCCTAAGCCCAAACTTAACACCTTAAGATCTCAAGCTTCTAAACCCCAAACTTGACAACCTAAACCCTAAACCCAACATAACGTATAAACCCCCCTATATAAACCCTATATAGCTCCAATGGAACACTCCTATTGGTTCGAACCCTGGACCTTTGTCCCTCCTAAACCCTAAACCCTGGATCCTAAACCCGAAATCCTGAACCCCAAGCCCTAAATCATAAACCCCAAAACCTAAATCCTAAATCCTACATCCTGAACCCTAAACCCTAAATCCTAAATCCTAAACACTCAACACTAAATCCTACATCCTGAACCATAAACACTAAAACGCTAGACCCCTTGAGGTTAGCCGCGGGGGCACCTCACCTCGGGGCTCCCCAGGCCGTGCGATCCACTGTGTGGCCGGGCTGAAGCTTCATCGAAGAAGGGCTTGGGGCTCAGGGTTTGGGGTTCAGG